GGAGCGGTAAACGCCGTCCTCCTCCTTCTCCTCATCGTCGTAGTTGTAGCAGTAGCGGTAGTAGTAGTAGTAGTAGTAGTAGTAGTAGTAGTAGTAGTAGTAGTAGTAGTAGTAGTAGTAGTAGTAGTAGTAGTAGTAGTAGTAGTAGTAGTAGTAGTAGTAGTAGTAGTAGTAGTAGTAGTTATAGTAGTAGTAGTAGTAGTAGTAGTAGTAGTAGTAGTAGTAGTAGTAGTGGTGGGAGTAGTAGTAGCAGCAGTAGCAGTAGTCGTAGTAGTAGTAGTAGTAGTAGCAGCAGTAGTAGTAGTAGCAGCAGTAGCAGTAGTAGTATTGTTAGTAGTAGCAGTAGTAGTAGTAGTATTGTTAGTAGTAGTAGTAGTAGTAGTAGTAGTAGTAGTAGTAGTAGTAGTAGTAGTAGTGGTAGTAGTAGAGGCTATGCTGGGCTAGGCTATGCTGGGCAATGCTATGCTGGGCTAGGCTAGGCTATGCTATGCTATGCTGCGCTATGCTATGCTGCGCTATGCCATGCTATGCTATGCTATGCTTTTGCTTTGTCTTCGCTTTTGCCTGCACTTTTGCCTTTGCTTTTGCTTTTGTTTGGCACCCAGGGGGCGCAACTGGGGGAACCGCGTGTTTGCTTTTACCTTTGCTGTTGCTTTTGCTTGGCTCCCAGGGGACAGGGGGAACCGCCCGAGGCGGTTTCCACTGCCCGGCCCCTTTAAGCCAAGAGAGTAAGAACTCTTCTAGGCAGAGCCTAGGTAGGGAACAAATGAATAGGTCGAGTGAGTGAGGCTTGCGATTTTATGAATGGCACCCTGTCTAAGACCTTCCTCCCAAGTTTTCAAGCTGGGGTGTGGAAGAGTGTGGTGTTGAGGATTCTTCCCAGTGGGATGCTCACGCGTCTGTTTCTAAATCAAAGCGGTGAGTGTCTACGCGGTGGGGACAGTTTCGCTTATTCAGGCAGTTGGAGACTCCGTGTCGACACCAGCAAGGCGATTCGGGAAGATCATGAAGGCACCGACAAGTGCTGTCCTTGATCCGCTGGATTGAGCTATGCGTGTCAATAGCTCCACGTCGCACTGATCGATTCGAGCACGCGCAACAGTGGGCGACCCTCCTCATCTCATGATCGGGATTGGCGGTCAATCTGCCGTTCGGTTCGACAAGGTGCACGCTGGATCGGCGGGAGCTTCCCAGGACCAAATTTACAAGCTATGTGCCTCGAGTTGTTCTCGGAGGTTTTCCGGTGGGGCAGAAGGTTTAAGCAACGACCCGCCCAATCGCCCGCTAGGCAGTGGCCGTAGCCCCGACCCAACCCCGACGTCGACAAGCCCACCCATCCACAATCCACTCCGCCCACACCACTACCTCTTCGAGGCGGGAGTTTGTACGGCTGGTTCGCGTCGTTCAAACTTGAACGATCCGGCCTTTTTGAACGGGCCGATCGTTCAAGTTTGAACGATCCCCGCGGTGTCAGGAACCAACGCCAGTATCGACACGACGCAGACCTGCCGTATCTAACCAGTGTTGCGGGAGCCGATTGCCCAGGACCCGAGGAGGCAATGGATATAGGCGGCCTCGGGCCCTGGATGGGGCGCTGACGTATATGCATGCCCGCCGCCGAGACGGGGGCCCTGGCACATCGGATTTTCCAGGCGGTGGATGCGTGCGTGTACAGTTAGGTCGGGCATGCCCCCCCCCCTACAGGCGGATTTTCGACGAAAAGTAAGCATTGCCAAACATAGCAGGAAAAATCATCCATGTATCATTTTTTGTCCGATAAATCATCCCCATCTTATTGTTGTTGCTATGTTTGAAGACTCCTCCTGTAGAGGGACACGCCCGACTTCAGTGTACAAGTCTCCGCCTCGTAACCCAGCCGCCACCCCTCATCCAGGTGCACGCCATCGCGGGTCTCTTCAGAAAGAGCGGGTGGGTCTGCTTTGAGCTGTCTTGGAAGGTCTCGGAGGGTCTTGGCAGAATGCCGCCTTCGCACGGCTGGTCTTGGGGGGGCGGGGTCTAAAGTTACCCGTCTGCGAGGGCTGTGACCCCCTCCCTTTGGGGTCGATGTCCGTCCGTATAGGCTCTTCCTGTTCCGTTCCCCCTCTTCCGCTCTTTTGGTTCCCGTCTGCCAGGTGGATAAGAGCTACACGAGGTTTCTTGTCCCTTGTTGTTGCATGTGCTGGGTTGGTATAAGAGTGCCGCGCTCGAACCTGGCCTGTTTGCTAACTGCCAAAACATGTTCCTTTCCCCCCTCCTGGTTCGCCTCGTCTCCCGCGCGGAGGGGCGACGCCAGGCCACATCCGGGGCCCCAGCTGTGCTCCGCATTTGGGGTCCAGATCGGACCGCGCCGGGGGCCACGCGGCCCCCTCGGGTTGATGGACAAAATCCTGCATCGCCCGCGCAACCGGGGCGACGGCGCAATCTTTCCCGCGCCCCCGTTGGCCCCCGATTCGATGTTGGTGGGCTGCGCCCGCGGGGTGCAGGATTCAGGTCAGTCGGCCGGTCGACAAATCGCGCCACAGCCTGCCAATATGAAATTGCGGTCGCGGGGGCCAGAAGCAAACATCGGAACAACAGTTGCAGGATTTTGTCCATCAGCCGTCTCCCTCTCATTATGTCATTCGGAGTGCACGCCGTCGTGTCGTCGTCGCCGCCGCCATCGTCCGCGCCGCCGTGCCCCTCGGCGCGCGCTGCGCGAGGCTTCGGGGGGCCCTCGAAGACCCGCGGGCGCCGTCGAAGGCCCCGTTGGGGGCCTCGGAGGCCTTCGAAGGTCCGGGCCTGGAGGGCAGCAGACAACGTCGGAGGTCTCGGTCGCAGATCCTGGGATGTCCCCGCGATTCCGCTTTCAGAGTGCGTGAGCGTGCGCTGGCGTCCGGTGGTCGGAGAGAGCGACGATTTCGCATCGACCCGCGTCGCGCTTTGGGGAGCGTCGACTGGCGCCGGTCAGCGTCGACATCGGCCAGCAAGATGGCACAGGGAGGCTCCCCTGGAGCTGCCACGGAACGTCGGAGGTTTGGGGGTGATGAGGTCTTCCTCTTTTGCTTTCGGTGTTTTGGCTTTGCTGCTGTTGTGGTTTGGCCCTGTCGCCCGGTGGGGAGTGATGGTAGCTCGGGCTCGTGCAGGAGTTGCGATTCGCTCGAATCGCGATGGTCCGACTTTGATGGGGGCACGCGCTCACCAGGGACAACGGACTCCTCGTGCATAGTACCCGCCGCTGGTCCTCTTTGCTTCTCTTGCTTCTCGTTGTGCATGCAGCGCATGGCCTGCAGTTGACGATTGACCATTGCGAGTGTGCGCAGCGGTGGAAACACATGTATGGTCCCGGGTTCCGGGCCCACGGGCCCCCCCCCCTCCCCCCCAGATGGTATGGTTCCAGGATTCCTCGGGCCCCCCCCCCCCGATGGTATGGTCCCGGAGACGACGACGACGACGACGACGACGACGACGACGGCGACGACTACGACGACGGCGACGACGACGACGACGACCACGACGACGACGACGGCTGCCGCGGCGACGACGCCGGCGGCGGCGGCGACGACGACGATGACGACGATGACGACGGCGACGACGATGACGACGACGACGACGAGGACGACGACGACGACGACGACGACGGACGACGAAGGCGACGACTACGACGACCGGCGACGGAGCGACGACGACGACCACGACGACGACGACGGCTGCGCGGCGACGACGCTGGCGGCGGACGGCGATGACGACGACGACGACGACGACGACGACGACGAGGACGACGAGGACGACGAGGACGACGAGGACGACGACGACGACGACGACGACCTCTGAACCACGACAGCACCACACCACATCCACAGGGGGGGGGGATGGGGGCACCGCAGCGCAGCACCACGCCACGCCCACCTCTGAACCACCACAGCACCACACCACATCCACAGGGGGGGGGAGGGGGGCACCGCAGCGCAGCACCACGCCACGCCCACAGGGGGGGGCGGGGGGGACCATCGCGCGGGGTGTGGGGGGGCCCAATGGCATCAGCATTGGGGGGGAGGGGGGGGGGCCCAAGCCCTGGACCATATCGCCGATAGATCGGCGATAGGCCTCCGATCGTGAATCCGCACGTTCCTGGGCAGGTTGGGGCTATCGAGCCCCTATCGGCGATCAATGGGCGATTGGGGGTCGATGCGTCCCCCCCCTTATGCCCATCCCCCCCCCCGATCGTTGCCCCTGCCAGCCGAGGAGATCTGGGCGGGCGCCGCCCAGTCCTCGCACTGCAGCTGCGAGAGCTGGTCCTCCTCGAGCGCCTGCCGCAGCGCCGCCTCGGCGGAGGCCTTCGCCTGGACGGCCAGCGACGCCTCGTGGCTGCTGGCGGCCTGCACCGCCGCCTCGGCGACCTGCGCTGGCCATCGTCGTCGTCGTCGTCCTCGTCGTCGTCGAACTCATCGCCGTCGACCTCGTCGTGCTTCTCGCCCCTCCTGCACATTCCCCCCCCTCTCCTCCCGCTCCATTCTCCAGGTTGTCCAGCGGCACACAGACGCACATCGGTAAACAGTTTCGCCCCGCGGGACCACCTCCTGGGCGATCCACACCTTCCAAGTCCCGCTCGAGACGCTCCTATCACATGCTGCCCCATGCGATACACCCCGAGTGCTGATTGAACACCTTGGAATACCCTCCTCTGTCCTCCCTTCCGTAAGACCTGCAGGAACCCTCGAGATGCGTGGATCCCCCCTGAACATTTCTCCTCCTCCTCCTCCTCCTCTTCCTCCTCCCCGTCGTCCTCCGCATTCGGGGTCGGACGGGCCCTCCGTCAACTACCCTTGACTAAAAATGGCCCAGAACAAGACCCGGCGAACGCAGACGAAAAATAATCGTGGGCGCAGCGCCCTTTCAAGAACCGAAACATCTAACTCGCCAACCGAATTTGCAGGGAGGGGGGTCCTATCAACCACCGACTCCTTCGCCACTCCTCACTTCGCACTCCTTGCTCCTCCTGTCCTCCTGCTGCTCCTGCTGCTCCTCCTCCTCTCTTCCGTAGCCGTTTTGGCTCAAAATGTTGAGTTCCCCTGGGGGCAAAGTGGATACCACCTGCCCGCGGCTTGTTCCAACGAGTTACACCCCTGTCGGGGACTCTGTGATGTCCTGGCCCACGCCTTCCTGGTGGCCTGGTTGCTCGCCGCTTTCCTCCGGCAGGGGCAATGGCGCCTGGGCTGCGAGACGGGGCGAAGCCAGACTGGTACAGTCATCGGCCTGACCTGAGGAACGATAAATAAAGAACGAAGCCCCTCTTGAAAAGCAAGTAGTGCAAGTACGATCGAGGTCCACAGCTGGGCATGCCGTGCATCACGATCGGATCCAAGAAGGTGTTGCCACTTCTGACAGGTTCGAGTGCTTCCTGGGTCACGTCCAAGGTAGAATTAGGGGGGCACATGCGAACCCTACCCCTACCCCCCCACTATTTCTGAGGGGGAGGGTGGGGTTCACACGCGGCCCCCTAGAGGGAACCCCACACTCCCCCTCAGAAATCGTGGGGGGGGTAGGGGTAGGGTTCGCAAGTGCCCCCCTGGAGGGAGTGCGCCGGCGTCAGCCAACCAACATGGTGCCTGCCCCTGGGCCACGAAGCACAGGTGGCTGGCCAGAGACTGCCGGGAAGCACACGGGCATGCAGAACGAGTTGGCTCGCCTTCGTGAGGTCAAGGTTCTGCGCGCGCCTACTACCGCGAAAGGAGGCCCTCTCGCTGCAGCTGCAGCGGTGGCAGCGGAGGGGGATGACGACGGTGATGAGGAGCAGCTGGAGTTTCTAGAAGAGCAGCTTCGAGGTCTCAAGTCCATCAAGTGCCTAAAGGCCTACATACAGTGGCTGTACCAATCACACTGAGGAGCAGAAGCGCCAGTTGGTCGACGCGACCAGGTCGAAGAAGCCTCCTGCTGCAGAACCTCAAATCCAAGCAAGAAACCATCGCGAATCAGGAGCTCGCGGTGGCGAAGGCTACGGAGGCGGCGGCCACGGCTGAGGAGAAGCTGGAGGAGCAGCAGAAGCGGGTCGCGGCGCTGCGGGTCAAGGCTACGGAGCTGGAGCAGAAGATGCGGGGGATCAATGATGTGGCCCGAAGCTTTCTGAGGCGATGGGGGGGGGCGTCTGCGCGCACGACCTTGACCTCTGTCTGGGCCCTGGGCGAGCTGCTCGCGGAGCTGGGTGCCACGGGGGAGATCGCCGAGAGAATCGTGCCCCACCCGGCGCTGGCGGAGCGGGTGCTGCGCAGGCCTCCTGCGGCCCGTCCCCGTCCTGGTGCTGCGCCTGGCGAAGACGGCGCAGGGGGCAACGAGGGGCGCCTGCCTAGGCGCCAGGAGGTTCAAGGGGGCGGCGGACGGTGCGCCGATCGAGGTGCCGCGGGCCAGCTCGGAGAAGGCAGGGGCCGAGGTGCCTCCCGACGATGCTCAGGTTCGCAGCGCAGGACCAGTGCAAGATCGCACTCCTCAGGCGCAGCCTCCGAAAGCTGCAGCTCGAGGGAACTGGGACCAGTCTTTCCCGTCCCAGGCCCACCCATCACCACCCCCCGCTCCACCCCAGAGGAGGAGGCAGCAGCAGCAGCGGGGGCAGAGATGACTGACTGAGACCGCACGGCCTCCAGGCCTAAGTTATGTTCGTCAAAGGCCGGCCTGTCAAAGCACTCCACAAACGAGCCAAGGTCGACAGTCACACCATTCTTACCCCTAGAATAGTGTGGGTGCTTGCCACGGCATAAATCGGTCCACCCAAGACGACCAGCACGAGAGAGGGGACGTCATTTATCGGTCAAACCTCTGAACTGGCGCACAGTCGAGTGGCACTTACACCTCATACATATGAAGAGCACAAGGTGGCCCGAACAATCGAAAGCAATCGTTCTATGGCCTAGACGGTCCTGATGATCAGCGTGTAGCTTGCTGTCACGGGGGCAGCGACCTCCAGGGGGGATGCAACTGGCGCATCTCCAAACTCCAGCCCAACGTTCCCAGCGATGGCAAGAAGTACTAGTCGCCTGAGGGGGCTGGGGGACACGCTCAACATGAGTTATATCGATATTCGGCAATAGGTGAAGAACTGCACAAGCTGCCTTGAGGAGTGGCCTGATCGAACCGAACCTGCTCGTCAGCGTCTTGAAGTACCCCCGCACCAGCAGGGTGAATCATGAGAGCATGTTTAGCGCCCACATCAGCAAAGTTATTGCCAAGTCGACGCCATTTCTCGGCAGCGTCGATCGAAGCATCATCGATGTCGTTATGGGCGTCAACTTTGGTACACCCCGAGACATCCGAAAACTGCCCATGGCACTGCAGGAACGCTCCCAAATGCATCTTCTTGTGCGAGAGCTGCTTGGGCTTCGATCTGCCAGCCAATTCTACCACGCTGGAGCAGTCCGAATAAACATGGCAATCGGCAGGGCTCGTCGCCGAAACAGTGGCCCACGTGTGGGCACTGAACTCGGCGCTCTGAGGGGGCTCGGGGGTAAGGGGGCCCCAGACGGGGAGCTCGAAGCTCAGCCACCGTGCAGACCCGAGCTGGCAGCCCTGGAGAGCCCCCGAACAGGGTGGCGGGCACGCGAGCAGTCCACGAAGAGCGAGCCCCACAATCTAGTCGTGATGGGCCCTCCGTCAGGAGCCGAGTCAGGTTGAACGTGCCACTTAAGGACAGGACCATCATCGGCCTCAGTGAGGGACCTCGGGTAGGTGTCGGCGGGGTGCCGAAAGGCTCCAGCTACAACAACAAAGTAGGCATCGAGGTCGCCCGACGCCTTAGCAGCCAGAGCAGCATCTAGGATCTATTTGCTCACAGCTTCTGAAATCAGGAGGAGGACCAGGAGGAGGAGGAGTTCCACGACCCTGGTGCGTCTCCCCAGGGAAGGGGGATGTTGCAGGCTGATTGCGCTGGTCAACTCGTTTCTTCGCCTTTGGGCTAAAGCGAGGTCCACTGGCGCGTAGCTGGCCGGCGTAAGTGGATGCCCCCCTCTTGCGGGGGACAGGTGGCGTCGTTCCACCGCGACCTGATGGCAGAGGTCGAGAGGCTCAACGTAGGCCACGGTGCCACGGTGCTCCTGGATGCCTGCAAGGCGTTCGACAGCCTCATCGCGAAGCAGCTTCTGGTGGAGGCGAAGGCGATGGGCCTTCCAGTCAGGATCATGTGGGCGAGCCTCAAGTACCACCACTTACCCAGGAGGCTGAAGGCGTCGGCTCGCTCTCGCGGAGCTGCGCGGCGCACCGGGGCATCCTCGCGGGCTGCGCAGATCCTGTGGCTGCGTTGGTGGCGAGCACTGCGAGGGCGCTCAGGAGCCTGGCTTGCTATGACGTGATCCCGAGGAACCTCGCGGACGACGCGTCGGTGCTGTAGGTCGGCCAGGACTTTCGAAGAGCTCGAGCGTTGCGGGAAGCCGCCATTAGTTACGAGCACGACGCGGAGGACGTAGACCCGAAGATGCAGGAGCTGTAGTCCGGCTACCTGGCGTCCTCGAGGCAGAGCCAGGCAGCAGCGGAGCCCTTCGCAACGCGGTTCAAGACTGGAGGCCGCACGCGCGCGAGGCACCTCGGCCACGACCTCGACGGCACGAAGGCGAGAAGGGCTGTGGCCAGGGGCAGGCTCGGCAAGCTGAGGCGCCGCATGAGTCGGGAGCGGCCAAGAGGGGGGTGTCCAAGAGGGAGGGGTGCAAATCATGGCCGGCGGCATGTGCGCGGCACAGCGGGGGGGCCGGGACCGCATTGAATTACGAAGAGGCGCCATGAAATCTGGGGAAATATCATGCCCCCCGCCATGATATCCCCCCCCCTAGTCATCACCCCCCTCTTTTCCGCCCCCGAAAGAGACGGGCGACGAGGCTGAAGCGCGCGGCTGGCGCCGGGGTGGGCCGCCCATGGCAGACAGGCCTGCTTCCTGCCACGGCGCGCGTCTCTGCAGTTTGCGGGGGGCGTCGCCCTCTGAGCTGGCGGCGATGCGCTCGGAGGCGGCCGGGCTTGGAGGTGCGAGAGGGCGCAGCATCAGCATCGCTTTCCATTTGGCCAACCAGGCCAATCCGTACTACGACCCGGTCTTCGCGGCGACCGTCGAGCCGCTGACGCAGCGTGCGCGAGCCGTCCGGGAGCGCCAGATGCGCCTGGGCGAGCATGAGCGGGCGCGGCGGCAGATGTTGCGCAAGGTCGAGGAGGGCGAGAACAAGCTGACCCGGGCGTCGGCTCGGGGGACCCTTGAAGGTGGTGGCCCTCTCACTCAAGCGGGTTGGCTTGGCGATGAACTCTTCGACCCCCTGGGCGCCCGATGAGGGGCCCGTTAGTCTCGCCGCTGGCCACGCCGCGCAAGTTTTTTCGTGACCTCCTCTGACAAGGGGCCTAGTGGCAGCAGATGCGACGCGCTGCTGGTCACTTTTTTGAGCCGCCCGGTCGGCCGCTCTGGGCCCGCGGGCTTCGCGCCAGCGCGCGCGCGCGGGGCGCGGGGGGTGCATGGGCGGCTTCGGTGACTGGGGCGAGGGGGGGGTGGGGGCGGGTGCCCCGCGCAGCCGTTGGTCGGATTCGCTGTGGCCGAAAGGCAGATGATCAGAGCTGCCGAGCATTGCCTTGGTGCGGCGTCCTGCCCTCGCCGAGCGACTGTAGGAGGAGGACTGTGGCCTTGACCCCGAGCTGGCCGCAGCTCGCGACGCGATGTTGATGCATGGGCCGATCGGGGATGGTCGCCAGGATGTTGATTCGTGTGCGCTGACCTCCGTATGTGCGGTACGTCGGGAACAGTTGGGCGGATCACTTCGCTTAGCTAGGGGCCCTGCCTGCGAGGCTTCCAGAATGGCACGCCAGGTTCTTTGAAGATATCCCCACTGGGGCCCGACAATTTGCTAAGTACCAAGCTTGGGCTGTCTAGCGGAATTGCAAGTTGGAGTTAGTCTGGCGTCGCATGGGCATGATCTTGCTGAGTCGCCTGGGAGAGTTATGTGCCGCAGGTGTCGCAGAGCTGCGTGCACTGCCGAGTCGACAGGGCAGCTTGTGGTGGGACGGACAGGCTGTGCCGTCCTTCGGTGATCTCTGAACTGCAGGCTCAGACTCTCGAGGCTGACGCCGACCCCCCCGACGAGGCCCCCCGAAGGCTCGGAGCGAGGGGCACGGTGGGGACTCTGTGGGTACCTCGTTGGGCGAGGAGGAGGAGGATGATGAGGAGGAGGAGGAGGAGGAGGAGGAGGAAGAGGAGGGAGGAGGAGGGAGGAGGGGGGAGGAGGGCTGCGGCGGTTGCTCGGCCGGGGCCCGGGGGGAGGGGCGCGCGCCTGCCCCCCAGGGCAAGGCGGCGGCACCCTGCTCTGCGGCGGGGGTGTCAGGGCCGGCGCCCGCTGGGCCTGCAGGCGAAGGCTCTGGCCCTGCCCGCGAGGGAAAGCGCGGGCTCGGGGCTCCCGCGTGGGGGTCCTCTGGCCCGCGGGGGGCCTGCCGCGAGGCCGTCTTCCAAGGCTGTGGCGCCCGAGGGCCACGACGTTTCCTCCCAAGGGTGCGGGCGCCTGGCGCCGGCAGCGCGGGGCCGGGCTGCGGGTGCGTCAGGGTGGGCGGGGCCTTTCTGGCCCCCCGGCCTGTCCCTCTGGAGCTGCCTCCCCCTCGGAGACAGGTCCTGGCCCGGTGGGAAGCTGGCCGCCATCCCAGGACTCGGAAGCCACGCTCGACGAGGACCGTCTTGCAGGCAGAGTATCCTGCTGATTTCCTGGCTTCCTCCCCAAAGGATCTCTGGTAGAGCTGTGTCTGACAGCAGACGCAGACTTCCGACTGCATTTCCTGCAGTTTCTCCTCATCCTCCTCCTCTTCCTCGTCCTCGCCCTCGCCCTCGTCCTCCTTCTCCCGTTTCCTTGTAAATAACTTCTCCCTGTCGCACCCCGAGGCCAGTTGTTAGGGCGGTCCGGGCGTTTCGCATGAGACTTCCTAACCATGTATGACCCTGAAGCTTTAAACATGACAACAGTTTCACTGATTGAGGGCGGGTGGTTTTCAAAATGTGGCTCTCGCCATAGCGCCGCGCACATTCGTTCCAAACATTTGCGAGAGATTGACGGGCTGAGGGCTGGTCGTTTTCAAAATGTGGCTCTCGCATTAGCGCCACGCACATTCGATCTAAACATTTGCAAGTGTTTCACGGGTTGAGGGCGGGTGGTTTTGAACATGTCGCTCTCGCCTTAGCGCAACGCACATCCGGTTTAAAAGTTACAGGAGTTTCGCGGATTGAGGGCAGTTCCTTTTCAACATGTGGCTCTCGCCTCAGCGCCGCGCATTTTCCTTTTGAACTTTTGTAAGAGCTTCACGGATTCCCATGAACAGCATACCAAAAATTGCATTTGTTTGTAAGAATTCAGGATGATGAGGGTGAATCAATAGGTTGATTCGCTGTGCTGAAGTCTCAAGAATTTCTGGCACGACTGAAGATCGCCAAGACGCAACAGCCAAGTTGCTCCGTGACGTTGGGATCTCGAGAACATTGTTTTGGCATCCTCCAGGGTCTTCAAACGATTGTCTTCCAACGAGGCAGTTCCCTCAGTGGACATGAGCCGTTGTAGGGACTTGTGGAGAGGAAGCTTGGAGGGAGGGTTGATTCCAACATCGTTGAGGGCGCTTGGATTTCCACTGGTCCTCCTCCTCCTCCTCCTCCTCCTCCTCCTCCCTCTCCAGAAGCGACCTCCGCTCTGGAGAGCCGGTCCTGCAGCGACTCGTTGAAGGCTGCGGCATCCCCGAGCCGGGCCTCCAGCTCCCTGGGGCAGGAGCGGAAGCAGAGAAAGGAGCAGCATCGGGAGAAGGGCGGGGAGGAGGAAGGCGAAGTGGAGGAGGGGGAGGGAGGAAGGGAGGAAGGAGGAAGGAAGGGAGGAGGAAGGAAGGAGGAGTCATAAGGACAGAGGGGGGAGGGAGGAGAAGCAGGATGGCCATACGACACCGAGCTGGGCGCCTCGGCGCGGTAGGCACCCCTCGCCCCCTGCGAAGGCGAAGCCCGACTGGGTGGTGGCTCGACGGAGCGCGTGTGCTGCCTCGCTCGAGTGAAGCACGTATCGGGCCTCGGCCCGGGGGGGGGGAGGAACAGCCCTGTCTTGGTGTTGTGCCCGCTGGCGAACCCCAAGAAAGAGCCCCTGACCTTTTGGGAAGTAACCTAAGCTAGGAGGGCCAAGAACATTAGGGGCAGCGGATCTTTTTGCTGCAGATGTATCAGACCAGGCCCCCTAGAATCATTACCACAGATGCGAAGACGGGGACCTCAGCGAGGCCACGCCTTCATCGTGTCCTCAGGGGTAGGCGCTTCCTTGTGCTCGATGACTCGTCTCCTGCCCTGAGCCGCGCAAGTGACCCTCGCGGCCACCACTCTACGCGAGGCCTGCGACCGACGAGCGGAACGCCCTGGACAGGGCAGGGGCACGGCCCTCCAGGCTTCGAGCGGGCGCCGCCGGCACGGCAGGCGACGCCGTCGGGCGACGTGAGGATACCCCGGCCGCAGATGCGGTGACCAGAGCAGCTCCGAGCGCCGGGCCCGAAAACGCAGCCGCAGCTGACGGCGCCATGCGGTGACCTTTGCAGGCCCGCCCGGGGGATGGCCGTCACGCCGCCGTGCGTGACTGCTCGCGCTGCACCGAGCTGAGCGCGCGCGCTCGTCCTTCCGCGGCCGCTGTTCTCGCCTGCTTGCGCCTGCGCCGCTCATTCATTGCCAGGCTCTCCGCGCAGGCTCTGCGCCGTGCCTGCCGCGCTGACGAAGCCAGCTCCGTCGCGCGGCTCGTGCTCTCCGGCGCCGCCCGCGGCGTCGTGGCGCCAATGTCTTACTTGCGCCCAGTGTGGGCGGGCGCCCAGGACCTCTGCCCCCTCGTTGCAGGAGAATGGGGAAGGGGGTGGGGGGGAAGGTGAGGAGGAAGCGGCGAAGAAGGGCAGTGGGTGGGCAGAGTAGGCGAGGAGTGGCAGCGGGCTTAGGGGCAGACAGTGGCAGCGGGGTCGACGCCGTGACGCCAGGGCCGTCAGGGCGCGTGCGCCGTAGGCACCTGGGCGCGGCGAGTGTGCAGTGAGGCGCGCCGGGCTGAGGCACCACTTAGTTCACAAACGAACGAACGAACAGGGTCAAGAGGAAGGAGACGGAGGAGGTACAGGGTCAAGCGGAGGGAGAGGATGAGCAGCGGCAGCGGCAGAAGCCGCGGCGGGCAGGGCGCGGGAAGAAGCGCCCAGGCGCATGGGAGACTTGGAGTAGCCATCGTATCCACCAGCACTCAGCTAAAATGTTGAGCTGACTGAGAAAGCACCGCGGGAAGCTCACTCTGAAACAGCAGCGCGAGAGTAAGGAGGGGATGGGAGGGAGAGGCGGGGGGGATGGGAGGAGAAAAGGGGGAGGAGAAGAGGGAGATGAGGAGGAAGAGGAGGAGGAGGAGGAGGAGGAGGAAACGCTCCGAGGGGGACCGCGGGTGTCCTGCCCGCCCACCTGCTGCAGGAGGGCGCAACGGGCGGCGTCCGTCTTCGCCACTGCCTTGCACCTGGCCTCCATGAGAGACAAGGTGAGTGGGGCCGAAATCCGATCGCGATCGCGCCAGGTATTAAAGGTGGACGCGAGGAGGTCGGAGGAGAGCCCAAGAGAATGCGACTGCTGACGCCTACCGAAACAGACCTTGCGGAGCAGCATTCGATGCAGAGTGGGGACTTCAGAAAACTAGGCTGGCAGGCTAGGGACAAGCTTAGTTAGGGTGCGTAAAAAGGGAAGGAGGAGGAGGAGGAGGAGGAGGAGGAGGAGGAGGAGAGGAGGAGAATGAGTAGGAGGAGCAGGAGAAGAGAGAGTGAGGGCGATGAGGAGCGAGGGGCATCGAGCAGCGAGAGGGACGTTATAGATTGTGGCCTGGCGTCGGCGTGGTGGCCATCGGCCAGTTCCCGCAGTTCTCTCAGCTCCTCCGAGAGGGCCGCGTCTCTGTCCTCTCTCCGCCGCAGCTCCTCGCGAGACGGATCGGTCGTCGGTCGTCGGTCGTCTGCCTCTGTCACCGCTGATGGGGGGTGGGGCTGGCCCTGGGGGGAACGCATCGAGCTGGAACCGGCGTCACATCGTCGACGGATCGGCGATAGGCTCTCGATGGCGAAGCCGCACGCTCCCGCGCGCGGCGGAGTCATCGGGCCCTTATCGGTACGACCGAAATGGGTACTCCAGATTTCGTAATAAAAGGGAGGGGGTCTCAACCCTCCCAGACGAGAAGTTTTAGACCCCGCCCGTGGGAGAACCCTCCAAAACATCGTCCCCAGACCCCCCCAGGCCCTCCAAGATAGCCTGGAAGAGACCCCCCCCCGAAATGAGACCACCCTCCCTTTATTACGAAATCTGGAGTACGTATCAACAACTCCTGCCGGCATTGTCACGGACATTGTCTATTTGAGACAACAGGGTCGCCTGCCCAACAGGGATCGCTGTCGGCTTGAGCAGCATTTGCCGTTGGCCATCGCACACCGTTGTTCGTACCCATTTAGGGCGTGCTGAAGGAAGGGGTAAGAGATAATGACACTAATTTGCTGGCCCGCACATCATGGATCTTCAGAGGCGCCCAAACTAGCCCTTCAAGGTGGCAAGCGGGAGCCTCAATTCGGGGGTCCCGTCACGCACTTCGTGCCACATGGCCCCAAGAAGCCCTCGGCTGGCCACCCAAAACGGTTCCTGGGAGCATCACTTCGGCACACTCCTCACGCACTTCGCGCTACATGGACCCCAAGAGATACCCAGCTAGCAAATATTAAGACGCCTCGAGGAGGCGTCAATTCGGCGGACCCCCTCGCGAACTTCGTGCCTCATGGATGCTCGATGGACCACTGTTAGCTCCAAAGACGGCCCGACTCCCCGAAGGACACCATTACCACCCCAATCGAAACATCGTAATGATTCCTACCGACCCTCGTCAAAGCCCTACCCCCATACACGCACATTCGCACGCACATTCTGACACACACAGACAAGGCACTGGTTGTGATGCGCATGTATGTGTTCGCTTCCTCTTGGAAGGCCGCCATGACTCCCGCGATGTGGGCTCAATAACATAGGCTGCCAGGGTAAGAGAGACTGGAAGGAAGGGGAGGAGGAGCAGGAAGAGGATGAGCAACAGGAGAGTCACAAGGAGCTGAAGCATGAGGGCTGGGGAGCAGCAATAACATAATGTTTTGATGAACCGCCACAGCGGCAGGAGCCGCAGGATGAGCAGCAGGACGAGACGGAGCGGGAGGACCCAGGACGATCAGCAAGATGAGCGGCAGCGTGATGCGTTGAAGGATCGGGAGGACGGGGCAAGACAGGAGAGCTGGAGGGCGAGGAGGAAGGCAAGAAGCAGCAGTACTAACATCAGCATCAGCACGAGGAGGACGATCAGGTGCGGGGAGCAGGGGCAGCGAAGGAGCAGGCGGAGGAGAGGAGCGGCAGCTCCTCTAGCAGCGCCGCGCGCGCGTCGGCTGCGCGCTCTGCGTCCTCCTCGAGCTCGCTTTGCCTGCTCTCGAGGGACTGGTGGAGCTGCGCGCGGCTGGACAGGGAGGCCTGCGTGGCCCTCCTTGTCCTCTCATCATGGTCGCCCTCTTCCCCCTCCTCCTCCTGCTCCTCGTCCTCCTCCTTCCATCTCTTCCCCCCTGCCTCCTCCTCCACCTCCTCCACCTCCTCCACCACCTCCTCCTCCTCCTCCTTCTCCTTTCCTCATTATATTCGACACCAGTATCACCACCATCATCATCAGCAGCATTACCAGCATCAACATCACCACCACCACCATCATCACCATCGTCATCAACATCATCCGCACCAACACCATCACTATCACAACCAACTCTGTCGTCGCCAGCATCACCATCCTTATCATCAGCCGCATCAGCATCAGTATCATCAGCATCAGCATCATCATCGTTACACTCACCATCATCATCATCATCATCATCATCATCATCATCATCATCATCAGCAGCAGCAGCAGCAGCAGCAGCATCAACATCACCACCACCATCATCACCATGGTCATCAACATCATCACCACCATCACCATCACTATCAAAACCAACATCGTCGTCGCCAGTTTCACCATCCTTATCATCAGCCGCATCAGCATCAGTATCATCAGCATCAGCAGTATCATCGTTAGCATCACCATCATCATCATCATCAGCGGCAGCATCAGCAACATCACCATCATCATCATCATCATCATCATCAGCAGCAGCATCACCATCAGCAACATCAGCATCACCATCACGACCCCCGCCATCGCGCGGCGCCTCCTCCCTAGAGCTAGTCTGAAACAAAAATCGAGATACCGGGCGTGATCGGGGGGGAGTTCGCCCCCCCGGATCACATCACGGCGGGGAGCCGCCGTGAACACCGAAACTCCCCTGTGCGCACCGCCAGGGCCTGCGAGCACGACGGCGCGCCAGAGAGCACCACATTGACCACAAGACGGCGCACGCATGAGAGCAGCGCATCGTGCTTGCGAGGTGAACAGACTGCGCGAGTGCCATCGCGCACGCCGGGGTCTTCGTGTGAGCGTGGGGGGCCGTGGGCCCGGGAGGCTTTCGGACACCCGGGCGCGGACGACAGCGACGACGACGTCCTAGGAACCCTTGAGGATCGTGACGAAATCCTCGAAGTCCTTTGGAGATCTGTGCAGATGTGGGAAGACTGGATGGGGAGGAGGAGGAGGAGGAGGAGGAGGAGGAATGCTATGGGAATGCTACGATAGCGGACCTTTGTCCTACAAATCAAACAGGTCTACCCTCCTGTGGGGTTAGTCTGAAGTGTCTGAATCAATATTCACTCCTTCTCCCGCCGCCGCATGCATGGGCGGCTCCACACGTAGCGTTTCGGCAACTCGTCTCATTCCATGTGTCTCCTGCAGGGCGGGTTTAACCTCGCCCGCGGGAGCTGGCGGCGGGGGATCGTCGGAAACAAAAAACGATCCCTGTCCGCCTAGAGGCTGGCGGGGGACGGGCGGAGGAGAAGTCCCCTGGCGCCGAACCTTCAGCACTTGAACGACCGACCCGAGACGACACAACCCTCTCAAAATCGCGCGCCGCCATCGCTTCCACGACGGCCTTGGGGGTCCCCTTTCTCCTGGGATCAATACCCATAAGAATTCTGGTGACATTATCTGCCCCTTTGGGGGTCGTACCTTCGCACCTCTTCTTCACGTGTCTGTCATCTACTGTCGCGAAGTGGCCACACTTGCTGCAGGCATACTTAAACCTCTTGTCCACATATAACATTGCATGAGTTTCGTGAAACTCAAGTGCTCCCGAAACGAACCTACAAGGAGCCTGCTGCACATTTGGGGGCTTCAATCCCTCGGGGATGGTTTTGCCTGCACACGGTGTGGCCGCGAATTTGAACAGCTTGGAACCTGGCACCGCCTGATCGCACGCCGCACACTTCCAACCCGTACCCGGCTTCTTCATTTGGTGGGCCGACTCTCGGACAGCTTCGGCCTACATGTTGCAAGGTCGCCGCTTGCCGACAGCAGCACTCTCGCCTCTGGACTGGGCCTCGGCACTCGCCGAGTCTGCTACAATGTTTTCTCGCGCGCCGTCGCACAAGACAAACAATCGCAACGATGCGATATGTCTATGAGAAGCCTATCCAGCCGGCCCAAACTCCCAAGCCAGCTCCGCCCCGTCCCGCGCCCATATCTGCAGCGGCACTGCCCGCTGCAACCTCCAGCTGCCAGTCTGTCACCAGCAACTTTGGGGATTTATCAGTGTGAGAGGGAGTCCGCTGCACTTCGACAGTTGCGGTGTCTGGCCTGAGACGCCAGGCCTCACGGGCCCTGCACCACAAATCCTCATAAGCCCATGTCGGGCTTGGGTGCTTCATCTTACAGCGCCACTTACAAGCCACCGACAAGTGATCAATTATAAACAAGAGCAATTCTGGCACCTCTTCCAGGGCCAAACAGAAGGCCTGGATCTCGGAGCGGGGAGGAGAAGGAGGAGGAGGAGGAATAGGAGGACGCCCACAACCGTGAAAGGTACGACCGCATTCATCACGCACAGAAGAAGCAAGCGACTTAGGCGGGGCCGCAGGGGAGATCCTCGTACCAAGGTTCCTCTCGCGCGCCCGCCTGGCCTCCACCCCCCGACCCAGGGCCCTAGCGGGCGAGGCCGATCAGCGCGAGGCCCCTCAGCAGGTCCGCGGCTGGAGCCTCGCGCACGCGGCCGCTGGGCCCGGCGGCCCCCGAGCTTTCGGGGGCCCATGAAGGCCATGAGACCAAGCGGTGAAAAAAGGGGGCCACTCACTCCTGACCTCTAAAAAGGGGTGCCATGCATACGCCGTCGCGTGCCCCTGTGGATTCTGGCGGGCTGGATACCGTCAAGCGCGAAACTTTTCCAAGTAAAAGGTGCGGCCCCCAGAGGCCCGGGGCCGACGCCTCAAACGCAAGTTCCCCGTTTCGTGGTGGAGTGCGCCATGGCTCCGCATGCCGTGCAACAGAGCATCGCGTCATGAAACGCGTGCCCGTCCGACTCATAAACATCACCCTTCTCAAGAGCGCACCCCAGCTGGCACCGAGCTCCAGGGTCGAGAGGGGGCGGGATCTCCTGAGGCCGCTCGCGAGCAGGGTTCCCCTGGGCCCCAGGGGGCCATCAGCCTGGCCAGGGGCCCCTGGCCCTCCAGGCGCCCCCGACTCTGGCTCCGAAGCCCTGGGAAGGGGCGCCCCAGGAACAGCATCGAGCAGGACGTAGCTTATCCATTCCAACCCGACGTGATCATTCATGCGCATCTCCCTGCACTCAGCTTGCTGGCTGGCGCAAACAATTCCGACACGGCGCACAAATTCCACATAACCTCTTATCAGGAGACACTCGTTGAAGGAGGCGCCGAATGGCTCAGCTCCCTCCTTTGCGAAGCGATCTGCCTCCGAGTTCCCAAACCCTTGCAATTCCGTGATACGACCTTTCCTCGCATCAACCATCGAGGTGTGCGAGGGGATGTAAAAACTTTTAATGCCTTCCAGGCGGCCCCCGATCTCGACCCGCCAGTGGGCCCGCGCCGACGAGGCGCCAGCCGCGCCTGCGAGTTTTCGACGGCAGCCGACCGCGGCCGCACAGTCCACATAAGAGGGAAACATTCGGAGCCAGGACCACCCTACGAGACAGCATCAACACCGCAAAATCTTCCCCGCCCATTGCCAGCTGTTGTGGCGTTTCAAAAGAAGGCACGACACCGAACAGCGCAGCGAGGGTTCGACCTTGGCTGTCGAGCACCACAATCGCCCATCCCGCGGTCCTGAATGCTGGAAGCACCCCTTCAAATCCCGAGCCACCCGTGAAAACATGGGCCCCCTCCGGGCCAAAGAAGGGCCCGTCCTGGGGCGACTGCCAGCGTCGGTCGGGCGCACGGGCCCAACGGGGTCTCGGGGAGGGGACCTGGCCCAGGACGCGGGGCGGGGGAACAAACATAGGCCACAAAATCCCCCCACTGAGGTCGGAAGGTTTCCAGCTCGTCGAGCAGCCTTCGCAGCGATAGGACCCGGGTTCTCGCGGCGCCAGGGGGCGAAAGCCACGCGCTGAAACCTGGGGTGGTGCAGAGTGAATTTGCCGTCTCTGCGCAGCTGGCGCTGGTCGGGGGCCTCGGGGCTGTGCCCACGTACTCTGTGTTGGCACCAGTGCGCATTCGCCGCGAGCGCCGACAATGCCGCCTTGTGAGATTTAGTCCAAGCCTCCGAGCTGTTGCGCCCGACGAGCTGGTGAATGGCTGCCAGAAAACGGGGCCACTCCACTTGCAGAAATCGAATTGTTTCAGCTGCTCTCCCCGCTCAGTGGCCCGAACGACCGAGCCGCGCAAAAGAGGCATGCAGAACTTGGGCGGGAATCGATCAGTCGACCACTCTCTATTGAGGTCGTCTACCAGGGCCCTCTGCGAAACGTCGAACGCCCAGCGGACCCGAGAAAGCAGCAGGGAAAGCGCGGCAACAGGCTGGCGGACATGGCCCCAGGGGGCCCTGCTCCCCTGGACCGCCAGGGCGCCCTGAACACAGGACTCTAAAACTTGTTTCGTAACCGAGCGGGCCCACCGGACACTGACGAATTCCTGCGCAGCCGAAACCACCGTCACCAGAAACGGGCCCCTGGGCCAGAGGCGAGAGGCCGAGAGACACCTGAAGCCCAGGGAAGTACCTGGGAAGAGGGGGCCCCGGGGACCCAGGATCCCACCGCTTGGACCCGAAGCTTGTGGAGGGTGAACGGCGGAACCCCCAAAATATGGGATCCCCACGTGGCCTTAGCGAGAGCTCCTGCGCGATAGACACGACTATGTTTTTTCACTCTGCCCCAGCTGTCGCAGAGCCACTCCAGTGCTGCGAGCGGCCGCAATTCGCGACGCCTGCGCGCCAACTCGTCGAGCTCTGCCACCGAGTCGCCGGCGAGGTCGCGGCGGGCGATGACCAGCTTGTCGTCTGAAAGCATCCACCTGGGATCCTGTGACAACTCAGGTAGCTGGCTGTGATCAGATATCATGATCTTGGCCTTGCCCCAGTTAGTTGGCAACTTCCTCGACTCCAACTC